CCTCCCTCCAACCCCCACCACACACACTTTTTTTTTTCGATTTCCCATCTGGTATTCGGTATCCATACTGAAGCCTGATTAAATCTAGATTCAGGCTGAGAAATCTCATATTGATGGTAAAGTACTCCCTAGTAAAGGCGTCTCTGTACCCAGAAGGACTTGAACCCGAGACCTCTGCTTTTCCACAACAACTCTTGTTGGTATCACACACACTTGTTTGTGCTCGTGTGTGTGCGTTTGTACAATCATGTTATGTATATATATATTGAGTTTAACTTATATATATACACCGTAAAGAAATTATATGTTAGGAAGTTTCAAATTCTCATTTTGTATGGAAAATTTTATGTTCTTATTTTTTGAATGACTTAATAATGTAAACAAACGTTTTTGGAGGTCTTCTTTGCTCTCATTTGTTGATTTTTCAAAGATTTTTTCAGTTGAGTTTGTGACTAAATTTAGAGCATTTTGAAGTTTTATATGTATTTTCATATGATCAGAAGGGTGTAGTAAAAAAGAAATTAATAGGGATATATGTTAAACTAATTTGAATAAGGATCTTTTTTTATATATTCAGGTGTTAGAAAATTTAAAAAAATTGGATATAAAAAAAAAACTACATATCATGATAATTCAATTGAGTTTGTTTTCTCCTTTTCCCTTAAAAATTAAAATTTGCTTTCTTTACTTTTTTGTCCTTTCAATACTTCAATGGCTTTTCACTTCAAAACCCTATATTTGCAATTCCACAAATATCTCTTTCTCTCTCTCTCTCTTATTGGGTTTTTATTATGTGTCCGGTATCCATATTAAAAATTGATTAAATCTGAGTTAATTCGTGCATTGCATGGTCCATTTCTGAGGGCAGTACTCCCAATAGAATATTTTTATTCTCAGGATTCGAACCAGAAACCTCTAATTAAGGGTGAAGGGTTATCAATCATCCCACCACAACCTATATTGATCTCTCTCCATGTGTATTACTCCCTCCGTTTCACAAAGAATGACCTCCTTTCCTTTTTAGTCAGTTTCAAAAAGAATGACCTCTTTCCTTTTTTGGTAACATTTTACTTTTTGCTTTCCACGTGGCATGTTTAAGACCACAAGATTAAGGGCAATTTTGTACATTTGACATATAACTTTAATTTAGGACCACAAGATTCAAAAGTCTTCTTTATTTACTTAAACACCGTGCCAAGTCAAACTAGGTCATTCTTTGTGAAACGGAGGGAGTATGAAGTAAAGATTAACTTTAAAACCCTAATTTCCAAACTAAAGGAATACTGTCAATATATTTCTATTTTTAGTTCCTAGCTAGCTAATTATCAAGTTCTAGCTAAATTTCATTAGTCATTATGTTTAATTTGAGAAGGCTTATTAATTAGTTGTATCACTAATTTATTAGTTTTTGCCTAAGTACTGTTTTACAACACTTAATTATTTGTTGGAAGACAGTCAAGGACATATTGAAGTTAATTTCTATCAAAAAAAAATTGCGTGTTAATTTCGTTAATTTGAGGAATAATTCTACTTTTTGATTCTATATACGTGTACATTAAATATGATATTTAGTTATTAACTCAATCACTAAAGCGAGCTATATAATTGATGGCAAGCTTAGAATTCAATAATTTCGATTGAATAAATAGCTGACTTCACGTATGACATGTTATCTCAATTTTTATTGTTTTTTTATTAAATAAACGTTGACGTTGTTTTGTTTTTTCGTTTTAAAATTTTAACGTCTTTTATCCATAATTTTTTTTAGAAGAAACAATGTACTTATTATGGTGATTTGGTTTCTTGTGTTACTAAAACTATAGGTTGTATAAATCATTAAATCTTCATATTAATGATCGTTTCATTTTTTCTAGCATAAGTAATTCATGTATAATTTCATAACAACAACAAATTATTTAAAATGTCTATAGTTGAGTCATTTAGTTAGGTGAAAACGCATATTAATTTATTATGATTAATTATTGAAAATCTATGAGTAAATATTTATCTAACATGTATTTATTGACTTTATATAAACATTAGATATCATTTTGAAAATGTTAGTTCAGATTATTCAATCACTCAAATAAAGTATTAACATACCAACATGGGTTGTGGTCAGAGGCGTATCTAGGGGGTCACTTGGTTCACGTGAACCCATGATCCCCTCCCCAAATCATATATAGTAGTGTTATATTTTAAAAAATATATTGAAATATGAATGTGTGGACTGTGAACCCACACTTGAAGTATCACACAATGCGATTATGACTTGGTGCACCTCTCTTTGTAAAATTTTAACCGTTTTCAGTAGTAAAAACCTAACTATCGAACCGATCAAATTTATATCATAGATCAACATTTTTATAACAGTGCACTCATCATCTCAAAATCCTGGATACGCCTCTGGTTGTGGTGCACTGGTGAGAGTGTTTCACCCTTAACCAGAGGTCTCGGGTTCGAGCCCTGGATATGGAGAAAATTCTATTGCGAGCGCCACCCCGAATGGGCCCTGCAGAGAATGATTCGGATTTAGTCGGAGCTCCAATGTGGATTCCGGACACTGAGTGGAAAAAAAAAAAAAAAAAAGTATTAACATTGGATGAGTTTCAGTTGAAGAATACGTATGATCATAAATTGGAAAAAAAAAACATGTTGTGGATGATTTGAAAATTCGATTTATATTAAGTCCATAGAAATTGCAGGTATATTAGTCAACCTGAAAGACATCATCGAAAATACATAATGTCTGAATCAGTTTGAAAAGTCATTTGAGAATAATATCTTTCTCTCGATTTTTTTAATTGATAATATATATCGAGACCTTAAGTCGATCTTTGAGAAATACTTTTTTTATAATTAATCTTATCCATAATTATTGAAAGATTTTTATTATTAATTAAGTGAACAGTGAACTCCTCCAAATCCCAAGAACATAGCACATGTGAACACAACTAGAGTGGTATGGAGACCTGTGACGGTTTCAACTATTGACAATTGAATTTTAGATTAATACTAATTGAGAATTATTGAAAATATCACTAAATTCGCATAAATTATTAGTTATATTTTTGAACTAATAACAGCTTTAAAAATACATTTTTATTTGATTAAGTGAATTTAAATACACTTTGATCTTGTAAAATGCATTAAATATACCTTTAAATTGTCGTCAAGTTTAGAGATGTTTCAGCACTTCTCTCGACTTTTTATTAAGAGCATCATGCTCTTACAAGAATTTAAGACCACTTATTTTATCATGTGACAGATCAAAGGTGTATAAATCTAAATTTATATCACCAATACACCTTCGATCAAAATATTAAATTTATTATTATATTTAAAGATTAATATAGTAGATTATGATTTTATAAAAATGGACGATGAGATTATACTTAAAAATCAATTATGATTCTTTGGCAATTCTTTAAGTAACAATAAAACGATTGATTTTGACAAAAAATTATTCTTTAAGCATCCCACAATTCAAAGGGAAAAAATTACACCAATTCTTGTTGGTATAAATTCAAATTAGTTGTTACATAAAAGATCTGATATATTTGATTTTTAACATTTCTATAATGATAGAATTACATTAGAATCACTTTTTTCAATAAAAATATTATATCAACTCTAAATTAAATATAGAAATCTTTCTGACCAAAAAAATAAATAAATTATAGACATCTTTCCTTTTAAAAAACTTTTTGAGACATAAAGGATCTGAAAGAGATTTCCAATTTTGAATGGTGACAAAAAAACAAAACTTTGAACCAACTAGAAATAAAAAGAAAATCACCAACAAATATGGTACCACAAATATAACTACTTATATTTTAATCAGAGATTTCGTATTTGAGTTATATTGAATATGAAAAACTCATTACTAGGGATCATTTCCCTTCGAATGGAGCAACGACAGCTCTAATCCAATCTAGTCAATTTTTATGCGAATACTGAACACCGAATAAAAACTAAAAAAAACAAATAAAAAGGAATTTGGGGGGGAAATTGAAGAAAAAAAGGGCACCCACTCTGTTCTGTTGGATAGTCTGCATCCCACGTACCAATTTTGCAACTAATCTCTCTTTCTTTAATCAGGTGCTTCTTTCCATAATCACAAAACATATTGCAATTTCGATCTAATACCAATATTCAAGCTTTGCATAAAACCACTGTAAGTTGTCTAAATCATTCTCCAAATCTCCTCATTTGCCTACTTTTTTCTTTGATTTGTTCAAGATTTTGAAAAGGGTGTGATTTTTGTTGTTGTTTGGAAAACAATAAATGGTTGTATTGTATATATCTCTTGTTGATAGCATGGTGGTGTTTTGTGTTAAAGTTTGAGTTTTTATTGATCAAGTGAATCAAGATTCAAAAGGGGTTATACTGGATTTGGTTAAATGGTAATTGGGCTGGTGGTTTCTTGGATGTTTTTGTGGTAAAGTTTGAGTTTTTATTGATGAAGTGAATCAAGATTCAAAAGGGGTTCTAGTAGATTTGGTTAAATGATAGTTTGTGTTAAAGTTTGAGTTTTTATTGATGAAGTGAATCAATATTCAAAAGGGGTTCTACTGGATTTGGTAAAAGTTGGGATGGTGGTTTCTTGGATTATTTTGTGTTAAAGTTTGAGTTTTTATTGATTAAGTGAATCAAGATTGGAAAGGGGTTCTACTGGATTTGGTAATTGGTAGTTGGGCTAATGGTTTCTTGGAGATTTTGCTGATGGATTGTTTTGGTGTGTGAAGGATCGATAGTACTGATTAGAATGTGTTTTGAAGGTTGTTGCATTGGTTATTGGAAGTGGTGGAACCAATAACTAGGACAAATGAGTACTTTCGGTAGAAGTCTCTCTCATAAACAGAGGGCATTGACAGTTAGCAGCCCTAGACTGTTTGATAAGTCGGTTAGCAGCCCTAGATTTAGTAGGAAAAATGAGGTTTCAAGACTTTTTCGTGTACTTATAGCAATTGGATCTGTTGTTTCCTTTTTCTTGGCAATTGGAGGAGGGTATTTGTATGTCCTACCCAATCTTACAAAATCATTTCATGAGGAGAATCTTATTAGTTTTAATGGTTCGGATAGTTTTTGTGACATATTTGATGGAAAATGGGTAGTTGATAACAACTACCCCTTGTACAATGCCTCAGAATGCCCCTTTGTGGAGAAAGGATTCAACTGTTTGGCAAATGGTAGAACCAATGATGATTATCTTAAGTGGAGGTGGAAGCCAAGGAATTGTGAACTCCCCAGGTTTAATGTGTATCATATGTTGGAAATTCTCCGAAATAAAAGAATTGTTTTTGTTGGAGACTCAATGAGTAGGACTCAATGGGAGTCTTTGATATGCCTTCTAATGACAGGGGTGCAAGATAAGGGAAGTGTATATGAAGTAAATGGGAATAAGATCACAAAATTAATTCGCTTTCTGGGAGTGAGGTTTAGTTCCTTCAATTTCACCGTTGAATTTTATCGATCTGTATTCCTTGTCCAACATACTTGGTCTTCCAAATATGGAATAAAGAGAGTTAGATCAACCCTTACGTTGGACAAGCTTGATGATATCAGCGATGAGTGGATCAATGCAGACGTCCTCATATTCAATTCTGGACAGTGGTGGGTACCTGGGAAGCTTTTTGGAGTGTAAGTGCACTTTGTTCTTTTACTAATACAAGTTTTATTACTTTGCGAGTATATTACATGATAGCTACTGCAAAACTGTAATTGAGCTAAACGAACAATAACAACATGACAATTTTGCAGTATATGAAGGCCATCATGTATGGACTCCCCCTTTTAATCGTCATTCTCCTTTCCTCCTTTTTCACTTGTAGCCGCCCTTGTTTAGCATGTGCGAGTATCCCTGTGTGTTCCACAAGAATTTGGTTGAAGTCTCAATAGGACAGGTGTTAAAGCCACTTGAAATTGGAATTGCTTGTTCCACAGTGAGAACACATAATGCTGACCCCAACTAGCTTGGATTGAAGGGTAGTTAGTAGAAGTTTTTGTTCCCACAGTGAAAGAGTTCATTTTAGGAGGTCACTCGTGCATGAACGCATTGCTTCTGTTTAGTTTCACTAGTTACCTCAAATCATTTGTTTAGGGCCTTCAAAGATTATTAGCCACTCGCTATATGAATATGCACAAAACAGGAAGGTCTGAGGATAACGTTTGTAGCCCAAACATTTAAACTTTCCGGGAATCTTGTGTTCATTTTTGTACATCTACCACATTTCGAATCAAAAGCTAGCTCACATATCAATCCCCTTAAGGTAGAAATGTCTCCGTATTTTTCATTTCTTTCCTGGATACATCTTGTGTGAATTTCAGCATTTCTGTCAGTAGGTTTTAAAGAACTCTTAGTTGCTAAATAGTAAACAAGATCCAGGAAACGTTTATGCGCTGGATAATGCACCTAGTGTTTCCTTCTTAGTTTTCATGCAGAACCTGGTATTTTGTGTTTCAGTTGTTCTCATGATGCTTCTTAATCTTTCTTTGAATAGGGGGTGCTATTTCCAAGTAAATAGTACACTGAGGATTGGAATGTCAATTCAGACGGCATTCAGAACTGCCCTTGAGACTTGGTCATCCTGGATTGATACCAAAATTAACCCTAACAGGACGCGTGTTTTTTTCAGAACGTTTGAACCTTCTCATTGGAGGTACTTGTTGATAGCTATGCCTTCTATACAGATGAATGCTTTTGGATCTCTCAGTAGAAAGTTTCTACAAATTGGAGCTGGTAATAATTGGATGGACCTTTTGAACATTTCTTTTGATATTTCAAGATTCAAAGCAATTCTTTTAAAAAGTCGAAAATTTTGTTTGAGTGTCTCCAGTAAAAAGAAAATGCTGCAAGAGAAATACATCCAGAATACAGTACCATCTCAAAGTAACTAATATCTTAGCACAATTTTGAAAAGATCATAACTAATCTCAAACAATGTTAAAGTTTTTTATTGAATCTTGTGAATTTTATTGATGTTCAAAAAGTTATAATGTTGATTTCTGCCAGTTCCAATTTTATGGAAAATATTCAATAGAACACAACATTTGGCTTCTCTGGTGTTAAATATAACACAAAATTTGACTCGACAAGATAGGGGTAAGGTTTGCGTACATTCTACCCTCCCTAGACCACACTTGTGGGACTACACTAGGTATGTTGTTGCTGTTGTTGTTGATATAGTATGCTAGATATTGTATCAACAACAACAGACCTGGTGTAATTCCACTGTGGGGTCTGGGGAGGGTTGGATGTACGCAGACCTTACCCCTACCTTTGTGGGGTAGAGAGGCTGTTTCCGATAGACCTAACATACTATATTAGTGCAACTAATGAATACATATTGGTTTTCATCAGCAATTTAACTCAGCGGATGTGCAATGTGACAAATCAACCTCTTTCAGAGACTAATGGTCAGGAGAGTAGCTCATTTTCTGATGCTGTACTAGAGGTGGCACACAGCATGAAAGTTCCAGTTAATGTGCTACACATAACTCCCATGTCCACGTACAGGAAAGATGCACATGTTGGTCTTTGGAGTGATAATCCATCTCTATCTGATTGCAGCCACTGGTGTCTACCTGGACTTCCTGATCTTTGGAATGAAATGGTCTTTTCATACCTGCATGATAGCTATCAACATACGTCATTGTATCAACAAAGAGAGTAAGTTTTGATACTTGCATTTAAAATTGGTCAATTCAATAGTATTTCTTCGTCTTTTGTTTTCACTATGTGATGTGTTATAGTTAATCCAAATTCTAAGTGGACTCAAACAGCCAGTATGTACTCAGACATCAAGGCATCAAAGTTCAAAAATTAGGGTGTCGAATTGTACATCTTCTTTGATATTCTCCTTCTAGGATATGTATTTTGTTGTACCTTTAGGAAATTAAGTTCTGAGCTATATATAATGTGGCGAAAAAGGTGAGAGATTAGAAATTTGATCTGTTAGGAGTGACAAGTTGAGGGATCCTTGGAAGATTAACGAACAGCTTCCTATTCATGTCCGACATTTATAAACACATGTGAGAATTTGTGGAGGCATGTCTCCTTGATGTGTCAAACTTGCGTCTTATCCAGTTAGTTGTAGCACCTGAATACTGCGAAACATTTGATATCCTTACTGCATGGTCCAAAAAATAGAGCCACACTTGCAATTTTTACATTAATAGCTAAATTCAAGAAATAGTGTATTATGAGACCATAGCTGATAGAAAATTTTACGGGATGCTCGTGTGTGGCATCAGTTTTGCTCCAATATTTCCCATTCATCACCCAAACTTTGCATGAAAATTTTTCAACATAAAAGCTTGGACTCCATCTTTCTTGACTCCTTGCTTATATTTGTACAACTACACATTTCTATAAGTTTGCTCATAAGTTGGTCTACTCGTTTCATTAGCGAGTATTTGGTGACATCATTGGTTCAACTAGTCAACCTGTGCCTATTGAAGCTAATAATTTTTTTCCAAAATAGAGTAGATTTTGTTTTATTCGTGGTGAGGTTTCGTTTTTACATGCTGAATCTGTTGTACACCATTGTAGCAGTAAGAACTCGTTCTCTCTATCTTTGTTTTGCTGGTAAGGTATCAAGGGGTGGTGGAGTCGGATATCACCCTTCTTCGCCTCTAGTTAAACACAAAGGAAATGTTGCATAGCCTCGTAGAAATTTGCTTCACTTAGATCCAAGATCTACATTATAATATTATGATACAAAATGCTTTATATATCCAGATTTTCTATTTAGTGAGGTAATTTGTTTGTTGCAGACTTAATAGCTTGGACTGATGATGTATCATAAGAAGGAACTCTACCAGCTTATGTTTTTCTATGGAGGTCTATCAATTTTGCAAAGCAATTTTGAACAAAAATGTATAGTTACAGTGAGTTCTGTACCACGAAATTGTTCCTTCTTTTTTTTTTTTTTGGTTCACTAAATTTGTTGTAAGAGGGAAGGAGAAAAATGTATATCATTCCCAGAATGTTCGTCTTGTTTAGTTTAATATTTGGAAATAATATGTAATGTAGTTTTCAAAAAATTATACACTAATGAGAAGTTTCACATCTCCTGAGTTTTCTTTTGTTGTTAACTCATGAAATATACAAACCTTCTTCTTCGGAGCTGAAAGGGACGTGGCCAAAATATATAAAGATTGATTCATTATTTTCAGCAACTAAAATACATCTTTAAATTGAGGCAGTAAAAATGGCTTATGTAAATGATAAAGATCTCTTGTAAAGAAGACGAACTAAAAATAATTTATCAAAGGTCACAAAATCAATTAAATTGACCAAATGTTTGTCTGATTTAGTGTTACATTAGGTTAAAAATCACTCTAGATATATATAACAGGGAAAATATTCAGCAAATGACTTGGCTTACAATATTACTGGTATACATATGTACATGAAAAATTGTCCAAATTTCCCTCAAAACACTTTCTGAGCCTCATATCCCCCCTTATAAAAGGAAATAGAAAAAAAAAACAAACACTGGAATATCAGATAACTGCCAAAAAATTAATCAATCGCCATTGGTGTAATCCTCTTTCTGGTAGCCTTTTTAGGAATTTGAGGGGTTGATATTGTTGAATCTTGTTTCACTTCTCTTTTCTCTTCTGTTTTTGCACTATCTATATCCATGCATTTCTCACTACCAATAACTTCTGGAGCATTTTCTTCCTGTTTCAGCACACTATTTTTATCATCTGCAGCTGCTTCTTTTTCTGCGGAAATTTCCAAATAGAAACATATGTTTAGTCAGGTATGAAGAACACATGGACAAAACAATAGAAGTTAGTTGGAGGAACACAGCAAACCTGGCCTACAGAAAGTGGATCCTAGTTCCTCATTATCAAATTCTAGCAGAGTGCAGTAACCATCTTGGGAGGATAATGCCAGATATTTCCCAGTAGCCGACCTTCATCAAAAGAAAAGGAATTAAGTAGATTTGTAGAATGCTTCACGGAAGAGAACGGAAGTACTGACAGGATTTGAAAAAGAATAGGGAAGCCAGGAATACCATGCTATGTCTGTTATAGCAGCATAATGAAGACCAGCTACAATAGCTATTGGTTGAACACTTTCTGTGTCATAGATGTACAAGGAATTCAACGTAGCCACAGCAAAAATAAGACGATAAGGAAGCTTGAAGAATGATGCTGCAATCATTAAAAAGGATTGGGTATCAGAGCATAACATAGAGCAATCAGCTCAAAAAGGAATGCAGCAGGAGAACCTACAATTGCTTGATCCTCTCAAGCTAAATGTCATGGGGCAGAAGCGTACAGCAATGACAGGTTTGCTGGCACCTGGGAGCATTAAAGCTGGCCTGTCAAAATCCAACAAAGTTGATGCGTAAGTATCAGATTGTTGAGAGCTAGAGGGAATATAATGGATTCGCTCTAATAAAAATACAATAGTACCAAAAAGACACAAGACACAAGATTCTTGCCTTGTGAGATCTTTCCTAGAAAACACATAAGCAGTGTTTGCTGGTTCTGAAGCAGGTGTAAACTTGTAAGAACCTGAAATAGCAAAACACGTCTATATTCTCAAACCTTCTACCTTTACTTCGCCAATTCCCTTTTTCCCCATTCACCTCAAAAATGATAATCATAAAAATAATAATAAACAAAAAAAAAGGAATACAGGTCAGATGCCTATAATCTATCGCATTAGCACTATCACATGAAGAATATGAAGAAGTTCAAGTTTCTCTCTTGAAGTTCTATCTCAAGTACATTTCTACACTTCAAAAACAGTAAATTGCAAAAAAAGCAAATGAAGAGTCCAAATATAAAGCTTAAATGAGAACTATAAAACAGATGTCATGTGGAAATTAACCCGACACTGCAAAATGTCAAGACACAGTTCACAAAGAGGGCTATGGTATGATTTTAATCTGAAAATTTCCATGCGCTACTTTTATATTTGGACTGCAAAAGAAGGTCACGATGCTTCATTATTGGCTTATTCTGAAAGTTGAGAAATACTGTAAAACTCCTTCAATGAAAAATGAAACTGTTTGAAAACATAACAGAAAATGATATTTCACAGGGTGACTGAACTGACACCAATGTCATGTCACTGCAAGAACAAAGAAGTATGTTTTAAGGCAAAGAACACATGAAGTCTTGATAGAGCTTTCCTTTTCTTTTTGTCTTTGAGGATGGTTTTCTTCGTCTTTTTCTTTCTTTCTTTTTCTTTTGGAGGGGTGGGGGTGCAGGAGGGAGCAGGAGAACATTCGGACACGGGTAGAAAGAATGATCAAAATGCACAGACTCATAATTAGGACTTTTAGTTTCAAGGTTGTACCTGCAGGCACAAGCAGAAAGGAACCATCAGGAGACCAAGATAACCTTCGGAAGAAAGATGGCAGTGTCTCATCAAGAAAGAGATGATTTTTAGACTGCATGAATTTGGAAGCGCCAAAGTTATTATGCATTTAACATTCACTTATAAATAGAAGACATTGAGAAACTGATATGATATTTGACCTTGGACTCATCCGGCAGTTGTGGTTCAACCTTCATAATGACATGTTGACACACAAAATTCAACTTCTCAACTCCTTTTGTTTTAGATGGTCTATTGCTGTAAATCCGGCAAGATCTATCTGAACTGAGTGAGGCGGTATACTTGGATAATGGATCCCATGCCACACCTTGCACATAGTGCAAATGAGCATCCAAAATCTGATGAACAGAACCTGATGAAGAAACTGACCAACTGTCAGTATAAATTTTATTTATCTTGACAAAAACTCTTTTAAGTTAGATCCTCTTTATTTTACCTTTGTTGACATCCCATATGATGCACGAATTATCGACAGAACCAGAAATCAAAAAAGAACCATCAGCAGACCACTGCAAGTCCAATACATCCTTCCGGTGAAATCTGAGAAAAGTAAACTCACGAGTAATAGTATCAAATTAGAAATAATTCCATGACAACAATGATTATGCTCCTTTTGTGACTTAAATACAAAGTTATAGATCAACACTTGAAAAGTCTTGTTTAATATGGTTATTAAAATATTATGGATTATTTATATTGTGTTTATTTATTATTTGAAGTAGAGGTTAACAAAAGTTAACTATATATACAATAACATTCTTGCTAAATGTTATTAACACAAAACTGCTTTGCTCTGCAAAACTAGAGATTATTATACATATGCTGGTTTATTGCAACATTCTGCTTAAACCAAAATACAATCCAAACAGACACTGAGTGCTAGTATCAAATTAGAAATAATTCCATGACAACAATGATTATGCTCCTTTTGTGACTTAAATACAAAGTTATAGATCAACACTTGAAAAGTCTTGTTTAATATGGTTATTAAAATATTATGGATTATTTATATTGTGTTTATTTATTATTTGAAGTAGAGGTTAACAAAGTTAACTATATATACAATAACATTCTTGCTAAATGTTATTAACACAAAACTGCTTTGCTCTGCAAAACTAGAGATTATTATACATATGCTGGTTTATTGCAACATTCTGCTTAAACCAAAATACAATCCAAACAGACACTGAGTGCTAGTATCAAATTAGAAATAATTCCATGACAACAATGATTATGCTCCTTTTGTGACTTAAATACAAAGTTATAGATCAACACTTGAAAAGTCTTGTTTAATATGGTTATTAAAATATTATGGATTATTTATATTGTGTTTATTTATTATTTGAAGTAGAGGTTAACAAAGTTAACTATATATACAATAACATTCTTGCTAAATGTTATTAACACAAAACTGCTTTGCTCTGCAAAACTAGGGATTATTATACATATGCTGGTTTATTGCAACATTCTGCTTAAACCAAAATACAATCCAAACAGACACTGAGTGCTAGTATCAAATTAGAAATAATTCCATGACAACAATGATTATGCTCCTTTTGTGACTTAAATACAAAGTTATAGATCAACACTTGAAAAGTCTTGTTTAATATGGTTATTAAAATATTATGGATTATTTATATTGTGTTTATTTATTATTTGAAGTAGAGGTTAACAAAGTTAACTATATATACAATAACATTCTTGCTAAATGTTATTAACACAAAACTGCTTTGCTCTGCAAAACTAGGGATTATTATACATATGCTGGTTTATTGCAACATTCTGCTTAAACCAAAATACAATCCAAACAGACACTGAGTGCTAGTATCAAATTAGAAATAATTCCATGACAACAATGATTATGCTCCTTTTGTGACTTAAATACAAAGTTACAGATCAACATTTGAAAAGTCTTGTTTAATATGGTTATTAAAATATTATGGATTATTTATATTGTGTTTATTTATTATTTGAAGTAGAGGTTAACAAAGTTAACTATATATACAATAACATTCTTGCTAAATGTTATTAACACAAAACTGCTTTGCTCTGCAAAACTAGAGATTATTATACATATGCTGGTTTATTGCAACATTCTGCTTAAACCAAAATACAATCCAAACAGACACTTAGAATATGATCTACGTTAATTTACTTTATTTTATTAAAAAATGAAAGTATATAACCAACATGACTTGCTTTTTTTATAATCAACGCTATGTGTTATCACACACTTCAACTGTTTCATGTGGTTATAATATCCTATAATCCCGAAAGCAAAACCCTCTTCCACCAACTGCATCCACTAAATTAAGGCGGCGACTGAAATGCCAAGTATAACTATTTCTTTCTACCAACATCAGATTTAAAAATTTATTTAACAAGCAGAAAAGGATAAAGATCACAATCAGAAATGCATGACAAGAACCAAACAGTGTGTTCTAATAATTCTCTGGCTTTCCATAAGAATAAAACCAGAAAAACAGTAGCTAATGTTCCATAGAGCGACTCTGTAGCTATTTTATGAGTGCTTAGTAATTCATAAAGGTAATAGGACCAAATGAAAGGCTTACGATAACGTCTTTAGGACTTTCCATGTTTTGCTGTCATCTGAAGAATGTAGCCTCCAAATGATGAGCTCGCCACCTACATCAGGAGCAGTTGTAGAAATTGTTAAATTATTTGATCCAGACTAAATAAAGAGATTTATAGGGACAAGTCTATACCATCTGCACCAGAGGCCAAATGCTCTCCTGCATATTACAAAAAAAAGTATAATTCAGTTTGCTGGCTGACTAGATAGGTACAAGTATATTATCAAACAGTTTAAGAAATCAGATGGAGGCATAGACTGGAAGTTCAGTTATAATTTTGATATATGAGAAGGTAGCTAAAAATGAAGTAACCACAGTTACATATTAACATTTCCAATATATTGATCAACCCAGAGAAGTGAGGTTTGTAAGATGGCATAGACCTAGAAGCAAGTCAAAACCCCAAAAGACTATCACCATGACTCTCCATCAAGTTGTGCTTCAGACATGTTGAATCAAATGCTACAAACACTGAGAGAAACATTGTTATCTGTTATTTCATTTATAGTAAGACTGTTAGAGCAACCTTCTCTGCATAGTCAAAGGTAATGATGATTTCGTGAATGTCATTGCAACTCAGTATCTAACAAATCTGACTATGAAAGAGGTTCCCACTCCACTCTGTATCTCTAGTTCTCAGATCAACAAGTGCTCAAAAATACAGATCCAGAAAAAAGATTCAAACTGCAGGAATTTCATAACCCATAGCAATCCCAGAGAATCGCTCCAGCTAATAGAATATCTACAACTGACATTCCAACTTTCCAATATTAATCTTCAAAGCAATACATAGTCCACCAGGATAAACAATTCTTCTCACAGCAATTAATATTTCAAGAAATTGGCTAACAGGCCATCAGCTTCTGAAAGACTGAAACTAAAGGACATGAAAGCCTACAAGTCTGTTCAAACAAGGTAATTTTTGAAAGAAAAAAGAGGAATTTTTTAACCAAGTTCACAGCTAATTGCAACTTAGTAAAGTCATCAATAACATTACCAATGCTGACCCTCTCTAAAACCAATATTACATCTTTCTTCAGGGAGGCATACAGAAACAGAGAGAAGAAAGCCAAGTCAGTCAAACAACCATACTCATAAATTGCACAAAACAACCTGCAGCTTCAGATGAAACTCCAACACTCGACAGGATATAAGAATGTACCAATTCTTGCCTTGTAAAATTAATGCTTTCAGTGTGAAATAGCTACCAGAATTTTTTAACAAAGCAAGACGAACAACTTTACCTGAAGGGGAGAACCGAAGCGCATTCACAGCACCACTATGGTAAGAAAGGCTCGCCTGGTATGTAACTGAAGGCGCTTTCTTTTCATTTTCTTCAGAATTAATCACCCACATCTGTTGAATTTATTTTGAACCTGATGTTATCATATTTCATCCCAAGCATAAAATAGTAATATGAAAGTCCTTTAAATATCATCGAACTTTGAGACTAGTGGTTAATATGTATACACATGCAAGTGTCCAATTTAAAATTCCCATCATACACATGACTTTGCAATCTGAAGCAAAAGAATTCACACTCATCAAGCAAGAGTCACTTCAGGTTGAAGTTGAAGTAAACAAGTTCAAGTAGATGGTAACATTTCAGACACTAACACAATCTATATTAGATGTGATTTATTCTGTTGAGTTAGAAGAACCAGATTGGTTTTAAGACTTTGCATTAGCTTTTAGGCGACCATCACTAAAGGATACCCGGCTTATAGTTCAAGGTTGCAGAGAAATAAATCACAAGCATAAACATCCTCCTACTCAGCCATTATGGATTAATTCAACAAAGTTGAGTTTTTTGGGTCAGTGATAAGGGGATCATGAAACTCCTGAGTAGTTGCTTGATTAACTGGATGGTAAATCTGGTCCATTAAAGAATACACTAAATTCATACCAAGTTCAGTAATTCTACTAATGTGGGCACCCATCGAAATGACAAATCCTCAATTGGTAAGAATATCACGTGTTGAGAATATGGATTCAAATGTGTTTACCCAAAGTTTATATTATCCTGCAAGAAGATGATTCTAAGATCTGTATCTGAAGTGCCAAACCTCAGCTACCTTTCTGGGCCAATTGAGACCAGACTAAGAAAGTGAATGGGAATTTACTGGTCTCTTTCCTTCTCTATGACTTTTACTATCCAATTGGGATGTGAACCCCTGTTTCAAATAATTCAAACGTACCGCCACATTGTTGCTATCTATGCAATCATGGTAAACACATTTCCTCCCACTCGCTCAAAGAAAACGAGGACATCATGGAGAAAAATTCCTCTTTTCCGCTTCTAGAATTTTTGTTATTTCCTCACATTCTTTCATCTGTCTGATTCCCTCTTTCCTCTTTTCTTCTTCATTTCCCCCTTTACTGTGTTGTCATTTCCTTTGAACTTCAAAGGTTCTTACACTATCTTAGAATCGCATTACCGAGTTGACAAAAACTAAATTCAAACTATTAATTAACTAATAAAAATGCAGACTTCCTCTCTTTTCCTCTTAAATTCTATTTTCATTTCCTTTGAATTTGAAAGGTTCTTACACCAACTTAAAATCGCAATACCCAATCGACAAAAACCAAATTCAAACTATTAATTAATCAATTAATAAAATGAAGACGAAATTGTGATATTATAACCAACTTTAGAAACACAAGGCTCATAAGGGTTAAATAGTAATTTTAACCTTGATGTCATAGTCGGCGCCACCAGTAGCAATAACGCCGGTGAGGTGGTGAAAATCAAGGCACAAAACAGGCTTGCTGTCGTGCCAATTGATCTGAACTGTACCACCCTTCATTCTTCTTGTTGCTTCCTGATCTCTCTTCTTACTGATTTTTGGGATTTTGGAAGATGCAAGAGAAGAAGAAGAAAGTAGGGTTTAGAGAAATGGTCATTTTGTTGGGAAAATTGGGGAACGTTCGATTTGGCGGGAAATCGACTGTGATGGGCGCCATATTTATTCGCACCTTTTGGATTGTGCCGAAATGACACAATTTGAATTGCGCCTCTTCCATCTTACTTTTTAAAATTTAAAATCCGAATTCGTGCCGGAAAGTTCTATATTGGGATAAAACGCTTTCTAATAAATACGACTCCGTATCGGAGACTCTTAAACTCGAGTTAAGAATGAAGGAGTACTTACCACTCCATCACAATCTTTATTGGTTGTGTTCATCTTCCTCCTTGATCAGACCCTTATCTATAGAGAATAATCTTCGTTCACACAAGGGTGTGGCCTAGACGTTAATCAAGGGCATAATAAATCATAAAAAAAGAAAAACGAGACCCCATTTCAACACAGACAAAATACACTAGATAGTTTCTTCTCATTTGCTCTACGCCTCAGTGAGCAAGAAATAATTGAGGTGTACGCAAACTGCTCCAATAACCACGTTATTTAAACAAGTCTTGCTCAGGGACAATTAAGAGCAACATCACGTTTGTTTTGGAAATGACAAAGTCAGATATCATCAAACTGCTGAGCAAAAGTTATGGATGAAAATTTTCATGATGAACCATTTTTACATATTCAGCAACACAGGAGGCAATCCTCAAACTCAATCTACTAACACTACGCAGGTATATCGAAAAGCGGTTCGTCGACATGATGAACACAAAACAGAAAGGTGGAGGTAGGGATAAAACTGAGAAAATAGCAATTCCCATATCATGAAACTTAAAATCAATCAAGGGAATGGGAAGCAAACAAAAAGAATACACAACTCTAACGCGCGCCTACAAAATGTTTGGGAGCTGAGCATCCAATCTCTGTTGCAGTTCCTTGACCTTGATTGAAAGCTCGATGGTTTGCTCCTTGTAGCTCTTGATCAGATAATCCTTCCCATCAATCACTTCTTTCAGCTCATCTTTTTCGCGCTTCAGCATTTCAAACCTTTCTCCATCTCCTCTTCCCTTCTCTGAAGTATCTGAGTTTCTGTCAACATCCAGGTGACCATTAGTATGACCATATCGGACTTCAGCTGGCCATACAGGTACTGTTGGAGGCTTATCGTAAGAACCCACTTGTCCAACGCAATGGTCTGCAATTGCCTTCCTCAGCCTCTGTATCTCTCTCTCTGAATCAAACAGATCCCTGTTTGCAGCATCCAGCACTGACTGCTGATGGGTGGAATGCGACATCTGAGAATTGAGAGAAGCTTGCAACTCTACAATCTGTTCTTGCATCTCTAATATCGTTTCGTCCCTTCTCTTTATCTGTAGCCTCAGCTTTTGTATCACTTCTCGCTTGCTGTATATGTCGGAACCAGATTCGGAGACACATGGCGACTCAGAGCTGTTAGAGCGATGAAATGGTTTCTGTGGCAGTTCAAGACGGTCAGGAGAGGTTGACCAAATCCCACCATTCTCTTTATTGAATCCAATGGCAGGAACTGCCACGAGAGGGAGCGCCATTTCAGGCTCAGACCCATTATACTGCTGCTTTGTAATTCCCAATCCTCCAGCTTCTGTCGTATAAAAATAGCAAATGTTCACTAAAAATAGCCAACACTAGTTAACAGACTATTGTATAAGATGTACAAGAGATGGAAGCACATTTAATCACACCATTTCAAGCACACTAATCTTGAGAAATATAATTAGATGAAAACAAAACTCAGAAAACACAAGAAATACTGAATTGTCAAAAATAGCAATCATAATAATACTAATCCACCAAATGATACCTAAAAAAATTAGAGGACCTATTCACACAGCTCGTGTTGCGTCCACTAGACTGAAGCCCTGAGGGCTCTTTAAGAGTTCTAATGGGAGAAAAAAGAAACCCTAGCAGTTCCCAGAAAATTGTACGTTCAACTAGGCTAGACGTAAGTTGCATGAGCCACTAATAGAGATACCCCAAATCATGCCCCATAATTTGGCAGGAAACAGTGACACCCCATAAGATGTTGTAGTATACATTTCAGCAAACAAACTGGACAATAAGATCAAATAATAAGCATGTACAAAATGGGAACAAAAAGGTTAGACATAAATGGAACTCGACTTTTCCCATGACTCTTTATTTCCTTAGGGTTAGCTGTTGGACTTAACTGCAGTGATAATTTATTAACCTTCTGTTTTTGAAGAAAAATCAGCAGAGTGTATACCAAGAAAATCATCATATTGATCACATAAGCTCAGTTTCAATCTTTCACTTGACATTACCATAAACTTCTTAAAGCGAGTAAGATAACTGTAAACAGATCTAAATTGTGAAGAGTGTCGTGTCTAATTTTCATGTTAGAAAGCAACCAAATAATCAACCTCTAACATGTAAACATTGTTGATGCATGCCTCTGTGATTAACTTTACTAGTTCAAATCATTCTCTCACAAATTTGGGAGTTAGACAACTGACAGGAGTACAGGAAGAAGATGATGCCAACATCAAATCACAAGCCACGTTCTTTACACCAAAAAGAACAACCTAAATTCCAAGATAAAACACCAAAGGGATGGCAAGAATTTGCATACCCGTGTTGCAATTGTAGCAGCCATCATCATCTTGGGAAAAATAGTAAGTGCTTGACTGCATATGACCATTCCCTAACTTACTTCCATCAGAAGACTTTTCATTTCCTGCAATTTAAGCCATTTCTCATATCTAAGAGGGCAAAATAATTTTACAAGACAAACCAAATTGCTTTAAACAATGTAGGACCTTTCAAACTGCTGGTCGTCTTGTTCGGCTGTCTTGAATCAAGCACCTGCTTCAGCTTGTAGCCTAAGCGTACAGATAATGTACTTAATAACGCACTACCTGCAATTATGACCCAGTTAGGACCCTCACTCTGAACACCATTGGACTTCTGGGACCTTGACCCCCCGTTGGTTCTTGGCTTCATTTCTATCGTCACTGAAGTAGTAGATGGAGAGGCTGCAGTTCATGAAAGTAATCCTATATAGGAAATGTGGAATAACGTCAATGTGTGCCAGGAGAAGCACAAATACCTGAGCACTCAAATCAGCATGCTTGTAGGCAATTGAAAAATATAACATTATAACTACAAGAAACTTTGCAGCCAAACAAGGCCATAACAGATATTTGATAGGGAAAAAGATTCAGAAAATGCAAGGTTAAGCTGTCCAGATATAGTATGGTATCTGTTTAACTCCACGTGAGTAGATTTTCTGAGTCATTTTATTTATAATATTGCCAATACTTCATTTATGAAGAGTGAGATATATAATGGCAAAAATATTTGGAGCTTTTGACTGTAGGGAAGAATGAGGTTTTTTTTCCTGGAATAAAGAGTAAGCTATTCAAGTTCTCAAAATTAAAGTAAGTTATTTGAAGGAGGATTCTCTATAATACCTATAGGTGGACATGTATAATTAATTTGTTCCCATATCCTTGATAGTGTGTTTCACATCTGTACTTTATTTCCCTTTTTTCCTAAAAGATACCAGAAGAATAAGTACCAGAGTGTAGCACAAGCAACAAAATTCCCATAAGAATAAGTACCAGAGTGTAGAACAAGTAACACATTCCTAGTTCACAGAAGGAAAACTAACTGCAATCATATAATTCTGATAGCATAGATACCTTCACGTCAAGTGCTGATGCCACACCTTCATGAGTCTGATTACGGTAACGGTACAATGACAGCAAGATCCCACAGGAAATAATGTATTCTGAAATAAAAAGCAATGGAAGTACAGCACCGATTACCCATAAGGACAGTATAATAAGGGAAGAAATAATTAATTAAAGTACAAATAGAAAAAAATCATGTAGACAGATCTGCTGACATTGCATTTACAGCAACTTATTGCATGCTTGCTCATTTAAATAAGCTGTATGGTTGGAATACACTGCTCATTCAGGATATTAGTTACATTCACTTGGATCATTGATATTAGTTTACAGCATCACTCAATAGTTCACATTTCACAAGATCACTCAAACAAATGGTGACAACTTAAAACCAGTAACTGCATCTGCTACTCTCTGTCGAGGCCTTACAAGTTTCCTTTTTCCTCTCTATAAACTATGCAGTTGCGAAGACCTTTATAAGGGTAAAGTAAAGAATCCAAAAAATAACAGCTACGAAGAAGGTTGATGTGTTGCAGAAGAGTAGAAGCTGTAAGGTCATTTCCAACCTCTTCGCAGTGGATAGAGATATACATTGCTAATTGAACATTTTGAAGGAAGAAGTAACACGGGGAAGGAATCTCAGTTCATGACGATAATTCTCTAAAGCGGAATAGTCAGCTAATTAACGAGAAAGTTGCTTGAGAAAAAAAGGGAAATTATTCATCCGAGGAAAATCTGAAGGAAAGAGAAAAAATATTGGTTTAGAACGAGCAGAGAAGGCCTAAAATTCCATGGTATATTCCTTCCCCCTGAACCAAAAAACAGAACAGTCCTAGTTTCAATGACAATATTGCACCTAATAAAGCATAATCAATAGTGTCAGACTTGGATCCTCTCACTTAAAATGGCTAATTCAGATTACGATGATCAAAACGGCGCCCAGAACTAAATATATTATTCTTTAAGGCGGAGTAAAACTCGAACCTTGATAACATCAGCAGTGTATAAGTCACACAGTACACACACACGACAGAGACAATATAGGAAAGAAGATCTGAAGTCGAAATGGCTAAAAGGATTACTGAGTCAGGCTTTCCATGTATAAGACAAAAGCAGTAAGCCTATAAGAGCCATCCGCATGAAGACTAGAAGACTAGCAGATTCGGAGTGACAACGATATAAGGAAATTGGCAACATATTAAAGTTTCCTGGAGTTTAGACTTCAGATGACGAAAAGGCTAAGACCCTAATGAGGCAAATTGGTAAACAGTGGCAAGAAAAAAGTGACAAGAAATTCTAGCTTTTTGCATGAGCGGACAATAAGTTTGGAGTCATTTACTTTCGAAGTTGATGACTAACCTAACCCAATTATGCTATTATATATTTAATAGTCTTCCATCACAAGATAGAGTGTGCTAAATCATAGAAAGCCACAACAAGCGATCTCGAAAAGTTGGTAGAT